AGTCTACTCCATATTTTCAGTTCATGTGTCCTTCTCTTCAGGAGGAGAGTGTTTGTGAAGATCGGACTCCTTTTTGTTTTCCTGTTCCTACCTCTATGGACATTCCTAGTTTGTCTTCCCCTTGTAGTAACAGTTTTCCTGCTCCTCCTCCTGTTCCTCTCTAGCGATCCTGACAACAGTGGTTTATAAAGCGTAGAAGGAAGGATACTCCTGAGACTGAATGTCCACAACAATTGAATCACCCGATTCCAAGTAACTCTAAAGGCAACACTGAGCTTCCTTCTCCTATTGTTATTGAGCCTGATGTCTCACAATCTGACCTTGACCTTCCCATTGCAGTTAGAAAAGGAAAAAGGAAATGCACTGCCTACCCCATCACTAACTATGTTTCTTATGATGCTCTTTCACCCCCCTATCATGCCTATGTTACTATTATCTCCTCAGTTTCTATTCCTCGTAATGTTTCAGATGCAGTTTAGTCACCTCAGTGGAAGGATGCTATGAACCAAGAGATAGAGGCTCTCTTAAAAAACTACACCTGTGAGCTTGTTCCTCTTCCTGAAGGCAAAGTCCCAGTGGGCTACAAGTGGGTGTATACCATTAAACATCAGGCTAATGGATCAATTGAAAGATACAAAGCTAGGTTGGTGGCAAAAGGATACACCCAAACATATGGGATTGGTTATCAAGAAACCTTTTCTGTTGTAGCCAAAATGAACTCTATCCGAGTTATTATGTCTCTTGCTGCTCATTATTCATGGCCTCTATATCAGATGGATGTGAAGAATGCCTTCCTAAATGGAGATCTTCAGGAGGAGGTATACATGGATTTACCACCAGGGGTAATCTTATCCAATAGTGAGGAGAAGGTTTGTCGTTTAAGAAAATCTCTTTATGGGCTTAAACAATCCCCTAGAGCTTGGTTTGATAGATTTAGGAAGGCTATTCCCAAATTGGGTTTACACAATCACAAGCGGACCATACTTTGGTTATACAAAGGGTTAATGGCCTATTCACCTTGTTGATAGTGTATGTGGATGATATTGTTGTCACTGGAGATGATCACTCTGGGACAAACCAACTAAAGTCATTCCTTGCTTCTGAATTTGAAATCAAAGATCTTGGGAATCTCAGGTACTTTCTTCGAATCGAAGTGGCAAGGTCAAAGGGAGGGATATTCATTTCACAGAGGAAGTATGTCCTGGATCTCCTTCATGAGGTTGGGAAACTGGGGTGTAAGCCAATTGAAACTCCTATTGACTCCAATCATAAACTGAGTGCTAATGATGGAGATATTCTTCCAGACAATGGTGTCTACCAGATGCTTGTTGGTCGGCTTCTTTACTTGTGCCTGACTCGACCTAATATATCCTATGTTGTTAGCATGGTGAGTCGGTATATGCACAGTCCTAGAACTTCACATATGCAGGTTGTCAACAGGATTCTTGCCTACCTAAAGGGGTGTCTAGGTAAAGGAATGTTATACTCTAACCAGGGACATCTCAAGGTTGAAGCTTATACTAATGTTGATTGGGTAGGTTCTATAGATGATAAAAGATCCACCTCCAGTTACTACACCTTGTTAGGAGGTAATGTTGTGTCTTGGAAAAGCAAAAAACAATCTATTGTTGCCCGATCTAGTTCTGAAACTGAATATAGAGTTATGGCTCATGGTGTATTGGAGTTGCTATGGTAGAAGTCTTTGTTATCCGAAATTGGGATCCAAGTTGAAACCCCAATGGTGCTACACTGTGATAATCAAGCTGCCATAAACATTGCTCATAACCCTATTCAACATGACCACACAAAGCATATTGAAGTTAACAAACACTTCATTAGAGTAAAGATAGCTAATGGAGAGATATGTGTGCCTTTTGTTAGGTCAAAGAACCAACTTGTTGATTACCTCACTAAGGGTCTCAACAAGCCAAAACTTGATAGAAACTTGAGCAAGCTGGGCATGATAGATATCTATGCTCAGCTTGAGGGGGAGTGTAAAGAATGTGTATTTGGCTTTAGGGGTATTGTTGCCTTTTCTTATTATTTGTATTTTGGGTGCCCTTATAGGGACATGACTGTAATTTCAGATAAAACATATAATGGAATATTTTGGGTGTGAACAGTAACACCCCATTCTTCTTTCTTCCTTCCCTCTTCCTACACTCAACAACTTATAGGATGGAAGGACAGCTCCACAAGATGGACGGTGGTTTGAAGGAAATGAAGGAGACTCTCTCTGTTTTCATCTCTCAGTTTGAGAAAGGATCAGCACGATCAATGAAGGATGATGAGCAAGAAGGTTCCAGCAGCAACAGCCAGCGAATAGTCGGAGCTCCTCAAGTCAAGAATGCGAAAGTCAACTTCCCAGCCTTCTCAAGTGAGGACGATCCTATCCCTTGGGTTAATCAAGCCGAACAATATTTTGAATACCATGACATCCCTACTTCCCAAAGGCTCCAACTCGCCTCGATTCACTTGGACGGAGAAGCCAACTTCTAGTACAAATGGCATTGGAGGTCTCACCCTCAACTGACTTGGCTCGACTTCACTGAAGCACTCAATGTGCACTTTGAACTCTCTGGGTTTGATGATTTTGACGAAGCTCTTGCCAAGCTGCAACAAATGGGCTCTGTAAGAGAGTAGCAAAATCAATTTGAGAAACTGGCTTCTCAAGTTCATAGCTGGCCAGAGAATGCCTTCATGGGAAGCTTTGTCAGTGGGCTTAGGGAAGACATCAAACTCGAAGTGAAGGCCATGCGACATCCAATGGTGATGGCTGCCATGGGATTGGCAAGGCTTTTTGAAGAAAAGCTCGACCGGTCCAAAAAGATGGCTGCCATGGGATTGGCAAGGCTTTATGGAAGGCTTTCTTCCAGGCTCAAGGGGTTCAAATGTTGCACACAACCAGTTACCATCCGCAAACTGATGGACAGTCTGAAGTGGTCAACCATTGTCTGGAAACCTATTTACGGTGTTTCAGAGGTGACAAGCCTAAACAGTGGACTACATGGCTCCCATGGGCTGAATTCTGGTATAACACCTTCCAGGTATCGGTAGGTACTACTCCATTTAAAATCCTTTATGGGTGTGATCCTCCCATTGTGTTACCCTATGAGAAGGGATCTACTGCTGCAGTTGAAGTAAAAGAACAATTATCCACTAGAGACAAGATGCTCAAGGACCTGAAGTTACACCTGCAGGAAGCCCAACAATGCATGAAGCTCTCCTATGATCAAAAACACAGAGAATTGGAGTTTCAGGTTGGAGACCTTGTTTATCTTAAGCTTCAGCCATATAGACAAATTTCTACGGCATCTTGACCCTGGCAGAAACTAGCACCACGCTACTTGGGACCATTTAAGGTAGCTGAGAGGGTGGGACAGGTGGCCCATAGGTTGGATCTACCAGCTGGTTCCAAATTGCACCCAGTGTTCCATGTGAGTCTGTTGAAACCATGCCTATCCCCTTCAGCCAGAGTTAGCAGATCTCTACCTCAAATCTCCAACAAAGGGTCTCTCTTGCTGGAACCCCAGTCTGTGCATGGCTTCAGATGGGTGAGATCTGGCTCAAAAAAGGTCCAACAGGATCTGGTTAAGTGGAAGAACCTTCCAGTTGAAGATGCAACATGGGAGGACATCTCAAGATTGCAGTTACAATTCCCCGACTTCAACCTTCAGGACAAGGTTGATTCTGAAGCGGGTGGGGTTGATAGGATCCTAGACCAGCCCAGCAGTATGCAAACAACAACCAAAGCCTAGACCCCACAACTTTAAAATCTGATCACCGAAGGCAGCAGATTAGGAAGAGTATCCCATGTAGTTCATCCCACCAAATTCGTCTACACCAAGAGGCCAGATCAGCATAACTAACTTGACAATCCCATGTGCATGGAAGCAGCTTGACAGTAACCTGTTTTGATTCAATATAAATAGCATGAGAAACCCTAAGAGTGCATGAAAAATATCTAAATCACTTTTTCTTCTTCTTCTCTGTACTATTCCATTTCAGGAGGAAGAGCTCCCTTGAAGAAGCTCACTAGAAGTGTTCTTATCACCAATGGTGTAGTATCCATACAAGTGGGGTCTAAGGATATTGGAATCTGTGTGTCAACAGAAGACTGAGAAGGTAGGCCAACAACAGGAGGCAGCCCAAGAACATGTGAAGGTTGAGTACATGCCAGAGTCAGTGGTGCTGATTGCTGAAATGGGAAGGCACCTTCGTTGAATATCACATCCTGTGAATAGTAGATACGACCAGAGGGCAAGTGCAAACATTTGTACCCTTTATAGGATTCCAAGTACCCGAGGAACACACAGCTTTGAGAACACAACTATAATTTATGATGAGTGTAGCGTTGGAGATGAGGGAAGCACTGGCATCTGAATACTTTCTTTTGAAGGCCTAGTAGGATGTCATGTCTAATTCTATATTTAAATCTTGAGAAAATTAACTTGTAGAAACTTCTTAAATCATCAATCAAGGTAGCATTTAGTTATCAACGAAACATTGAAGCAATTAATGGAGAAATTGTCTACTGGCTGATTTTAAATTTTTCCAGCATTCAAGATCTTCGAAGTTAAATTAAGGGACCAAACCATAATATATTAATTAGACAGATTGTACACATGGAAAGATATATGATTTTCTAAGGTAGTAAAAGGATAAAACAGTTGAGTGTAAAATGCAAAATTACATGTTATGCAAAATATTTAAGAAAATACTGTCAACTATATACATACAAAAAATCTATAAACCTACTGTTTTCTAAAATATGATAATAATATGACAATAAAATATCCACCACGACATGATAAAGCATAGACAGAATCTTTCTTATCAATTTTATTGCACAAACAATAAGATGAAATAATGTTGCAAGAAGCTAGATATTTCGCACATGGTAACCAAATTTAATTTTCATTAAGAAAGGGTATCTAAAAGTATCTCGCTATTGAGACCAACTCCTACAGCATGACCTTCCATAAAGGAGAGCCTATAACCTGCCAGGAACAAGCAAAATGGTACAGCTTCTGTGCTACTTCTTCAGTACCCTCCTTGCTGAGTTAAGAAATAATAACAGATTCAGAATCTTGTAATCTCATGCAATAGAAGTATCTTCTTCCATCTGACCAGCTAATTGTTCCAAAATTGAGTATATTTCATCTTTCAAGGGGTGTGATCGATCTGATACACTGAATGTGTGCATCCTATTCTCAATTTCTATCCAACTGATAGCTCGTTCTTTTCTCACCTGTCTCTCATTCATGAGGTGTCTCACCTTCTCTACTGACTCCCACCTCCCAAGTGCAGCATATATGTTTGAAAGCAACACATATCCTGCAGATGATTGAGGCTCCAACTCTATAAGTCTCTCTGCTGCTTGCCTTCCCAAATCTATATTTCCATGAATCCTACAAACACCAAGTAGTGCATTCCAAACCCTGCCATCAGGTTTGCAAGGCATGTTCTCAAGCAGATCCAACACCTCATCAAAACGTCCAGCACGGCCCAAAAGATCAATCAAGCATGCATAGTGCTCTTGGTTTGGAACAATACCACCATTGTGGGTCATGCAGTTAAAATAGCCAATTCCTTCTTGCACGAGACCTGAATGACTACATGCATTGAGAATGACAACCAAGGTGATCTCATCTGGATTTGTCCCTGCTTGCACCATGTTGTGCAACACTTGTATAGCCTCTTCTCCACAACCATGCTGTGCCAAGGCCGAGATCATCGTGTTCCATAGCACAGTGTCTTGCTTATTACCCATGAGATCAAAAACCCGTAAACTAAGCTCCAAACTTCCACATTTTGAATACATATCAATGAGTGAACTGACAACTATCGTATTAGGCCTGAAACCAGTCCTTACCATAAAGGCATGGATTTGTTTCCCATGCCTGAGCGAAGCAATACTTGCGCAAGCACAAAGACAACTACTGAAAGTGAACTGATCCGGTCTAATGCACATAGTCATCATTTTCCTGAAAAGCTCAAGTGCCACATGGCCCATACCACTCCGAGCATGGCCAGAAATCAAAGCTGTCCATGACACAGGATTTTTCTCTGGCATCTCATCAAACAATTTTGTAGCTGATTCAAGATCCCCCAATTTGGCATACCCTGAAACCAAWGTTGTCCAAGCAAGCACATCCCTTGTAGGCATGTCATTGAATAATTTTCTAGCATCACCAATCACCCCACATCTGGCATAAGCATCAACAATACAGCTCGAGAGAACCACATTTGAAAGGAATCCAACAACTAAAACCTGGCCGTGTACCTGCCTAGTAAGAGACAAATTCTCCAACTTCACACATGCAGTCAAAACACCAGCTAAGCTGAAGTGGTTGAACCCAAGTGAAGAACAACGTAACTGAGCATAAAACCTCAAAGCTTCACCGCAAAATCCATGTTGAGCCAATGAAATTATCATGGTGTTCCAAGACACAACATCCCTTTCAGGCATTCTGTCAAATAATCTCCTTGCTGGCTTGAGCATTCCGAGCTTCGCATAGCCGGCGAGCATATTGTTCCAAGAGTACAAATTTCTTACCCGCATTTTGTCGAAAACCCGGCGGGCTTCGAGGTCGTTGCCGCATTTAAAGTACATATTAATTAAATGATTTGACAAGAACGTTTTCGGGTTCTTGAGGCCGGTCAACTTTAAATGGAGGTGAATCCATTTTCCTTCTCTGAGAGATCTAGAGTTCGCACACTGTTGGAGGAGAAAAGCAATCGTCCTATGGTCTAAGCGGAGGCCAAGGCGGGATAGGAGCTCTAAGGACCCGACTGCTTCTTTGAGCTTCCCTTGCGAGCAGAGATCGATGAGGCGTTGGACGACACAGGGACGGTTGGATTTCTTCTTTCGGGTCCGAGTGATTGAGAGAATGCGATTTGGGGAGGGGAGAGAGGGCATTGCAGAAGAAGATCATGTGAGGTGTCATCATCTATGAATCTGGTTCAAAGTTGCCAAGTTTTGGACGCTCCACCCCGGGCACCGCCGGCCGGCTGTGACGGAACGCGAAGTTGACCCACCATTCGTCGAGTGGACCTGATTGACAGTGTCTGATCTGCTTATAGCCATCGACATAGTCCACGTGCAATTGGTAGGCCCCACTTAACCTTGGGAAGGTTTTTGACTAGGGCTGTTCACGGGTCGGGTTGGGTCGGTTTATTGAGGTTTTTCCAATCGACTCGACCTGGTCGGGTTACTTGAGATGGAAACCGAAACCGACCCAGTGTTAAGCAAAACCGACCTGGTCGGTAGACCTGTTCATGGGCCGGGTGGACCGACGGGCCGGTCTGGCCCAGCCTAGCCCCCGAACGGGTTTGAACAGGTATATAGGCCCGCAGGCTTAACCTCGGGCCAAAAAGCCTGGCCCACAATAAATTCGAGCTGGGCTCGGGATTTGCCAAAATAGCCCAGCCCAAGCCCGACCCGACCCAACCTATAACAAAACCTAAAACCCTAGTTGAATACCCCTCTTTTTTTCACCTCTTTCCCTTCTTTATATTCTTTTTTTAATATAAATAAATTTTGAATTTATATATATTTTTTAATGTAAATAAATTCTGATTTATATTGATTATTGAATAGGGAAAATTTCTAATTTTTTTCTATTAGGTCGGGCTTCGGGCTTTTTATTAGGGCCGGGCTCGGGCCCAAGTTGTAGGCCTGTTGGTCGGGCTGGGCTCGGGCTCGGGCCTAACATATTTCTGATAATGAAGAGTAAAAGCCCGGCCCGAGCCCAGCCCGGCCCAGCCCATGAACAGGGTCTACTAGTCGATTTGAGTCGGGTTGGGTCGGTTTGGATCGGTTTCGGCTCTAAGTTCATCCATGCCCCTCATGGCCACTTAGTTTTCTGGAAATATATTTAAAACTGAAATATGTATTTTAGAAATATATATATATATATATATAAAAAAAAATATACATACAAATATATTGGAATATATATTTTCTGGAAATATATATCTGACATATTTCATAATATATATTTTTTAGATATAGATATTGGAATATATATTTTTAGATATTTCAGTTTTTAGTTAAGTAAGAACTAAGTCGGTTCGGTTCGAGTCAATTTCGATTTTCACACAAGAAAACCGAAACCGACCCGAACCATCGGTTTATGAATTTGTACAACCCGAAACTGACCGGTGCTGATGAAAACCCGACTGACTCGAGTTGAATCGGTCCGGATTGATCGGTTTGATCGGGTTAGGCCTTCTTATGAACAGCCCTAATTTTGACTATTTTGCTGTGAGACTGTGAGACCCGAGGGTGTATACCGACAGAAACCCTATTTTACATCTTTCTGATATGACCCGTTCCGAATTCCGTTTTGTAGGTTTTGGGTGTACAACGGTACAAAGTACAAAAACTCGGCGTAAACATAAACGGGTTTTATCCGAGTCCGGATCTGTTCCTCACACCAACCTTATAGCTCACATGGAACATCTCCCATACTTGGTGTCATTATTCATATGGAGATGTTCCCCGTACACAAGTGGGATAGGGCTGTGAGTTCGGTGTAAAGAGCATTCTACAAGAGCAAATCCGGATTCATTTTATATATGAAGAAAATAGAGGCAGACAAATAAATTGAAAGATTCTTTTTTTTTTCATATAAAGAAATCTTCTAAATTACCCTTAAGTTTTAGAAAATGGACTTATTCTACCATTACTGTTTACGGATGTTTTGAAGTATCCTTAAGTTTTCTAATAATGGACAATCGTTAACAATCGCTAAAAGAAAGATAGAAAAGACTTTTTACTTTTCATTTTCTTTTAAAATTTTAAAGTGATAAAAGGCTCTTCGTATACATTGATCACTGTAACAATCTTGTTTATCTTCTCCATAGTAGTAATCAAATCAAGAAAGCATAACCATTAACAACTCCATTATTTTCATTTGCAACAAAACAAGATGATGATCTTCCCTCCTAATTACATGTTTCAATACCCTCTATGTTTTTTCCTCTCACTAAAACAATTTATTAGGTATCTCTGTTCTCCATCATTTTACTAGTGTGAGTGTATCTTTCTTTTTCTGTTCTTGTGTATCTTTGCATTTCTCATATACTCCTTTGATAACACAAACCCAAATGGTTAGGATGGCCATCGTTTTACTACTATAGATCTAGACATTTGTGGTAATAACTAGAGAGAGGGGGCACCAGTGTTAGCTAAACCGATTGGTAGGGGAGGTGAGGGTGGTACTGGTGGAAGCAAAGTGCAAATCTGAACACCAACCACCATTTTACTATTGTAGAGTTGATCTCATAAGATTGAAAAGGTCAAAATTGAACTAAAATCAATGATATTTTTGCTAACAACAAATAATGTTTTACAACTATGTTTTTTCAATCTGCATGTCATGAAAATAGAGCTTGTTTCCACGGCATAACTTGGGTTTTTTTTGCCACTAGCCATAACTTGGGCTTCCTGTATCATAACAAAGCATCCAATAACCCATGGTTGCTTTTGGTGAGTGGAGAGGGCTTGAGGGGGACAATCTTGTATTCATTTGTGGGGCGGCAGTGGTTATAGTTGTAAGTTGGGGCAATTAACTTAAAGAAGCTCCATCTTTGTGGAAATAGTAGAATTCCAACAACTATTAAAAAAACTGAGCCCGTTTCTAAATCAGAGGGAGAAAAACCCAAGTTGGTTTTATAATTCTGGTTTTGTTTCCCTTTTTTTTGTAGTCAAATGTGCCCAAATCACTAGTTTGTCATATAGAGGTTTTCTATTGGTCATCAGCTGGGACTTAAAAAAAAAAAGCTATGGTCTTCGTTAACCTAGGAACAAACTGAACTAGGACCAAGTTGAACCCCTTGTTATTATGGACATTTATGAAAAATATGAGTCATGTAGTGTCACATGCCAACGGGTTGTAACAAAAGGCTAACTGACAGGAGAGGATTTAGTTAATTGTTAGAAAACTTATGGATACTTCAAGGGATTTCGTAAACATAGGGGTAGAGTAAGTTCATTTCCTAAAACTTAGGGGTACTTCGGTTCTTTTATTGTTCAAAGAATCTCACCGAACCTTTTATATGCATCAATTCCATGTCTTGAAGGGTTTGTTTCCTATTTCCAAAGCATGGTAGAGGTGGCTCTAGATTCAAATTTCTTGAATGATCAGAATCACAAAAAAAAAAGAAAAGAAAATCCATCAATTGATCAAAATCGATTTTTTTTCCTTTTTTTAGAGAGCAAAATAGAGATGATTTCATTAACTTTATTCCTGATATAGCCCTTAATAATAAACACTATTTTTTTGTAATGCAAATTTGAATATTCATTTGTTTGCAAGTATGATTTGCACTCTTATTTGATGCACAGTTTGTACTTATTGTCTAATTGTACTCAACAATAGTGTAAAATTTACATCTGAAAAACTGATGCAAAATTTGGACCACTTTCCTCCCGCCTCAATTCTCTCGCAATAAAGTGAGACTGTATTATCTCACCCCAATAAAAAAAAAAAACAATAATCTGATTTGATAATAGTGAGAAAGAGAGAGATCTTAGTGAGAAGAGAAGAAGAGATGGGGAGAAGCAAATAATAATCTGGCCCCCACTCATTATATTATATGCTCATAAAATAATTAATTACAAAGACTAAAATGCCCTTAATAGGGCGAATACTATTCATAATACGAAAACAACTCCAAAAAATAGCCTTGGGCCTAATAACACTAAATAATGATTATAAACAAGAAAAACATAAGAAATTGTTGAATTTCAACATTCTCCCTCAAATTGGAAGTAAATGTCACATATTCCTAACTTGTGTAGATCATGTTCAAGTTTATTTTTTGCAACTCATTTTGTAAAAACATCAGTTAGTTGTAAATTAGATGCAACATATGATAGACACACTTCTCTAGATGTCACCCTTTCTCTTATGAAATGTCTATCCACCTCTATATGCTATGAGCAATGTTAATTGCTACTTGATTATCATAGTACAACATCATAGGTTCTTCTGCATTAACTCCAATCTCTCCTAATAAGAATTGAACCTAGAAAAGCTTTGAAAGACAATGTGCCATAGCTCTATATGTAGTTTTTACACTTGACCTATCTGCAACTAGTTGCTTCTTACTCTTCTATGTAACAAGATTACCTCCAACAAGAGTGTGCACTCCTAATGTAGATCTCTTGTCATATAGTTATCCTACCAATCAACGTCCATGCAAACTTCCAACTTCAAATGTCCATGGTCAGCACAATATCCCTCTGCCTAGATGTCCTTTTAAATAGGCAAGAACCCTATCAATAGCTTCTTATTGTTGAACTCGTGGGGCATGCATGTATTTACTCACCACACTAACTTCACAGGAAATATCTAGTCTTGTCGCATATAAGTATAAAAACCAGCCCATCAATCTTTGATGCCTCCAAACATCATTTACTAGCTCACTATTAGAAGCATTAATTCTGTGATTATGGTCAATGGGTGTATTAATTGGTTTAACCCTAAGTTTTCTTGTTTCCTATAATAGGTCTAGCACATACTTCCTCTAGGAAATGAAGATCCCATGTTTGGACCTTAACACCTCAATTCCTAGAAAATACTTAAGTTCCCCAAGATCCTAAATTTCAAACTCCTAGCGCAAGTTTTTCTTCAATGCATCAATCTCACTCAAATCATTTCATGTGGCTATAATGTCATCCACATACATTATCAACACTAATACTAATGATCCCCTTCTCTTCATAAACAAAATATGATAAAATTGGGTTTAAGTATAACCTAACAAAATCAATGCACTCCTAAATTTGTCAAATTAAGCTTAGGATGATTGTTTCAAACCATATAAGGACTTCTTCAATCTACATACATTTCCTTTAGTCACATCACTATGAAAACTGGTTGGAAGGTTCATGTACACCTCCTCCTACAAATCTCCATTAAGAAAAGCATTCTTCACATCAATTTGAAAGAGGATCCAAGAGTAAGCAACTGTTAGAGATAAGAGGATCCGAACTAAACTCATCTTGGCTACCATGATATGGTCTC